ACTGGTGCGTCAACCGTTCATCTCCATCAGCGCACAGGAGGAAACCTGCGACACTGTGTTCCGGCGGGAGTGGAATAACATACTTTCATTCTGAATCACTGTCATGTGACCACATCTGTGCAATAAATCTGACAATCTGAAATTATTATTTCAGGGAATGCATCGTTCTTTGGCCAAACAGGATAAATTTAGTGACGTAATTTGAAATCCGTGGCCCTCCATGTCTGTTCTGCATCCAAGTGTTCACGGCGTTTCTCTTTCTGTTACAGAACCCAAGACCCTTCGGTCATCAACAGATCTGACCATTACAGCCAGACACATAAATATAATAATCTTATTTTTTATTTTAAGAAGTCGCAATCCAGTGCTGCCAACTTACTGACCTTCCTGTTCTACGACAGGTTCATTCGTATAATATTGCGCGCTATGTTGAAACCAAAAGCGTATGGCGTAATTCGGAATTACGTTCTCGAAATATAACCCTGGAATATCATCCACGGCCGCGCTCTGACAACGTTACTGTGTCCGATCCTCTCTGCTTTAGAACTGCGCACAGACCTTCAGAGCAGACTCCGTAGATAAAATAATGTATAGAACGCATAGAGGAAGGCAGAGAAACTGAAACTGTATTGTGCCTGACATTACTGGCGGAAAGATGCCTGTGTTATCAAGAATTCTCGGATGTCTGGTTTCGTGCTGAGAGCTGCAGTCTCACGGACAGTGTAGCGGCTGTTATCTCACGCTCTGCTCGGGTTACTGAGCTTAGAAGCCTACACCGGTCGCTGCCGCTGGCCCGCACAACGCAAGTTAACAATATTTCTAACTGCCCTCACGAGACAGCAGTAATATAATTCCTACAGTGTTAACCTGCCCGGTGCCGTGTGCTTGAATGTCATCACAAGCATTTACGGACTCTAGATAGCTCAGTAGGTATAGCGACGGGTCGGAATTCGATTCCCGGAGGGAGAAAGACATTTTTTTTTTACTCTAGACTGGCTCTGAGGTCCACTCAGCCTCCTACTCAAGAGGTACCGCAGGCTGATTCCTCCGGGGTAAAGCTGACACTCACCTCCATCTAGTGCTGAGGTCAAGAACGGTGGAGCTATACCTCCACAGGTCTTCATTGAAAGGTGCTTAATCAATTAAGCACAGGTACAACTTTACCTTCATGATGTAGGGAATTCACCAGTAGCGGTGCAAAGTGGGGACTAGACACAGCTTAAAGTTACGTCATCACGGGTGGAAAAGCATTTCAGGTTGAAGGATTATTCATTTATTTACGGCACCCGTTTAACTGCATGCTACGTACATCGCATCTAATGGCAGAGTGATCTGTGAATCGTGAATTGGGTAGGATCTGGAAGGATACGGTAAGCCTGCTACCACAGCACATGCCTGATGAATAACATATGACTTCAGTCAACATGTGCTCTTCTGCTCTGAAAATGGAAGCAGCACGTTCCTCCGAAACGTCGGTATACATCGACCATATTGCACCCCAGAAGTCACTAATCTTCATATGGGAGGAGACTTGAAGTCAGGATATCCCAGATGTGGATCATCAATGTTATATTTCGGAGTATGCTTAACCCTCTCACCACCAGCACCGACTCTACCCGCTGTCTCGGGTTCAGGCGTCTGAACACCTGAAGTACAGTGCTGAGTTCAACACAATGAGCTTCACAACTTGTATTCCTCTCCAAATATTACTACAATCAAATCAAGGAGGGTGAGATGGGTGGGGCACGTAGCACGCACGGGAGTGAAGGAAATTGCATAAATTGTTCATTTAGGAAGACAGATGAGTCACTTGGCAGCTTTAGCGGATAGAGGGTGTCGCGTGGTCAGCGCAGTAAATCCCCACGGCCGTTAATTTTGTTTTTTAGACCGGAGCTATTATTTCCTTGAAATAGTTCCTCAATTATCTTCACGAGGCTGAGTGGACCCCGTTCCAGACCCACTACTTCTCAGAAAATCTGGTAGTGCCGTAATCGAACCCGGGACCTCTGGATATGTAGCCAGGAACTCTGATTACTAGACCACAGAGGCGGTATTAACTTCGCCGACAAGCGGCGGCAGCTCAGTCGGTATGGTTCACTTGCGGACTAAAACCACGGAGTTTTTGTTTTTGTTTGATGAGTCACTTGTCTGTTAAGACAAAACTTGAGACAATCTCTTCAAACCTGCATTATTACGTTCAAAAACAAGTACAACTTCCGAGTCTTCTATCGATGAATAATGTATTATAGCGTGTAGAGCTGTTACTGGATAACGACCTCGAAACAACTTCCGTTACCAGGCAACGACCGTGAGATGAGCTAATATATCAGAGCCATTACTGGGTAACACCTTCGCAAAGAAGCAAGCTCCCATGGAAACGCTTGGAGTACAGCAATTGAATGCCTGTGTTTTCTGTTGATCCGTACCGAGGAGTTACAAGGAGGGCAAATGGAGCAAGAGAGGAGAGCTGTCAGCAGTCAGTTGTACGGGAATCTGTGAAGAGAAGACTTGGTCGGTGCAGTTGAAGAATCTCCATTGTTAAGATCCGTTACCGGGAAACGATCCAAAACCCCGTCGACTGTCACTGTTTCACGTGACAATATTGTCTTCTTATTGTTCTTAAATAAAGGATCTGCAGTGATATTTTGTTATTTATTTTCATCAGCACTACTTACTTAATTATTTTCCATTTTTTGTATTCTGAGTTTGTTTTGGTCTTTTTGGGCCACCTTCTGTTTCACTAATCCGGATGATCCACCCCTCCAATTACTTGTTCCGGGAAGTGTAGGTATATTTATATGTATGTACAGTTTAGTGGTTAAGGCACTATGCTACAAGCCGGAAGGTCGCGGGTTCAAGTCCCGATGAAGTCATTGGATATTTTTCAATTGACCTAATCCTTCCGGCCGCACTAGGCCTTGGGGTTCACTCAGCCTCTAACAGAAATGCGTACCAGGAATTAATTAAATAATTTTCCTGGGGAGTAAAGCGCGGCCGGCGCGTAAGGGGCTGGAGGGGTTGGAGTTCGATTCCCGGTAGGGTCTCGAATTTTCTCCTCTCCAAATCGTCCAGACCGGCTCTGGGGCCTACCCAACCTTCTATCCAATGGATACCGGGGGTAAAGAGAGAGGGGCGTGAAGCAGACCACTCACTTCCAGCTTCTGTCGAGGTCAAGAAAATGTGGATCTACACAGCCACTCCCCCAGACGCCTTCATGGCTCAGTGCGTAATTCGCTGAGCACAGGGACAGCTTTAGCTTGATGTACGTTTTAGTATTATATTAATAATCTGTGGAAGTTCTTAAGAACATAGGGCCTGAAACAATTCTTTTATGTTGCTTATTTAACGACGCTGCCAGTATCGAGACTGCATAGCGTTGATAGGATGTGTGATGAATGTGGAGTAGCTGGTGGTATGAGAATTGACAGTGGAAACTGAAGTACTTGGATAGAACCTTCCACAGTGCCACTTTGTCTGCCAAATAATCCCACATGACTTGACCTGGAGTCAAACCATAGCCGCTGCTGTAGGAAGCTGCCGACTAACCGACTGAGTTATGGCACGGTCTTGTAATAACAGTTTATGAAAACATTTATTATAACGAGTATATAAAACGCAACACAATTGTGCAAGCATAAATGCGAGCATAGTGCAGCAGTAATGAGCTTATGTTTAAAGCGCAGGAAAGTTACCGTGTAACTGAATTATTACTATATTCCAGGCCTAACTTACTGCCCAGCCAACACTCACGTCCCACAGTAGAAATACACTTGATAGAGACGGCGACTGGCCGTGGCTAACAGCGTTTTCCAACCTGCGTCGCAGCTAACTTCGTCCCATGTGACACATAACCTAGAAACACGCTCTACAGAATCAAGTTGCGAACGTTTAAAAATGAATCTTGCAACGCATCGCCATAATTGACGAAACAAAACCGAAGTTTGACTAACAGAACTCCATTCCAAACAAATCAAATTAGAACAGTTACAGGAAAGTGTTCGGGCTGATATGAGCCAAGTTAGGTCCGACATACGAGCAGAAAATGAAAAGTTACTACAAAGTTTCGAGGCTCAAACCACGGAAATCAGAAAGGAATTAAATAGAAGGCTGGAATCAGAAGCCAGACGGATCTCCCAGCTAGTTATGCAGGTGCAAACTGAAACAGCAGCAGTCAAGAGGCAGCTACAGAGCATAAGTAACGAGTTCGACTCTAGGTTAGACCAGCCCAACACCATCACCCAATTGGTAGTCAATGTCAATGAACTTGCGGATCAGATGCAGGAGCACCAATCCGAAGTGAGCAATCAGATGGTACGACAGAAAAGAGCCTAGAAAAGTTATCGCAGGCAACCACTCAGGAATTAGGAAGGCAGTTTGATTTGGTAAACGCAAAGGTTGTGGCCTTAGGTATCAACAGTCTGCTTTCATTCACAGAGGCAGTAGTTACCCCTTCCTCCTATCTCAGTTGCACCTAGGGTGACCAACTTTCGGTCATGAATTTAAGGGAGATTTAGCCACGACAAATTTGCGCATTTTTAGCGGCGCGGCGTCAGTCCAACAAACGTTCATGGAATGGCTAATATTAAACAAAACAATTAATTTACATTGTATATAATATACGGGTCACAATATGGAATAAATTTTACAAATTTGCATGTTCCTTAGTCCTAACCTATATGTATTTGTCCACTGATGCTGCAGAACTAAGCATTTTTTTATCTTCTTGTGCATATTTAAAAAAACTCTTTACAACTATAGTCATAATTAATTGCTACCATTAGCTCTGACCTAATGAGTTCTAAGCTGCTTTCTCTGATCAGTCCATTTATTGCTCATCAGTGAAAAAATTCTTTCAGTATGGGCATTTGAGCCTGGGATGCTTAAAACAAAGCCTAAGATCTTAATAAGGTTTGGCACATCAATTTGTTTTTTCTTTTGCACCCCCCCCCCTACTCGTGATAGTGCGACATCTGTCGATGATGTTACGAGTAGTGTGCATAGCCCCAGAAACGGAAGGGTATGCTTATGTATGTACTTTAAAAACAGATGGCACTCTCAGGTTTTGGTATCCTAGCAACTTGTAAACACAGTGGTGGTAATTTTGAAAAGGATTGATATTAGATGAGTGTTAATAAGAAATTCTGTTGTGATAATACCATCGACATGAAAAATACGTACAACATTAGCAAGTTAAGAAGAGAAAGGTCAAAATAATAATATGACAGGCCTAGAAACTATTGGTAATTTCCAAAGATACCAATAAAAGTCCCAGATGGCCAAATAACCTTACATAGTCACCAGAAAAAAATGAAGGTGTACTGCAAGTAGATGAAGAAATGAAATCAGTCAAGGAATGTAGACAAACAACTGAGCAAGGAAATTCATCCAAGGAACTGGTTGCTTCTAAGGAAGCTTTGTGGAATGGAGAAGTGAAGAAGGAAGTGACATTGGATGATAAAGGGGAAAAAAGAGGTTAAAAAGCAAATGAAGGTGAATTATGTGCAGAAGACAGAAACAGTTAATGAGGTGGAAGAAACGTAACACATAGAAGGTGAGGAACCTGAAAATGAGAAACTGAAAGGAGGGCCATAACCTGAAGAAAGAGAGGGAATCCTGGAATTGGAATATAAACAAGAGGATGAGAAGAGCGAGATACAGCAAGAAGAAGAAAATCAACGTAAGAAAGATAAGCCAGAAGTAAGTGAGACACGGAAAGGAAAGAAAATTTGTGAGAGAGAAGGCCAGGACAAAAGAAAAAAAAACAACAGGAGAAGTGCCAGAAGGTGAGTCAATGGAAGGGAAGAAATCAGAAAGTCGAAAAAGTAAGGGAGAAGGAGAAGAACTAGAAGATGAAGCAAAGTCAGCAGCCCAAGAGAGGATGACAACTGTGTGGGAGAAACAAGAAAATAAAGAGGAGAAACCAATGGAAAGAAAAGAAACAAAAATAGAGAACAAAAATTTAGCAGAGGGGGAGAAACAAAAAGAAATAGAAGACATAATGGAAGTCAAAGGAGAAGGAGAGCAGGAAAAAGGTACGTTGTTCATTTAATTTTAGTATAATTAAGTGATCACTGGGTGTTAGAGTTAGATAAATATTATACCATGCATTAAGCTACCCCAGATTGTAGTCGATCACTTCTCTTAGTCCACTCTGTGCTTCCCATCCTTCCAATGGCACATGCTAGAAATACCAGAATAACAAGAGAAAATTCCGTATAGACTAAGAAGGAATTTTGTTTTACCCTTATTAAAATCCCTGTGAAAGTTTATGCCATAGTCATACTTGGGAATGCTAAATCTGATGACACTGCCACAGAGGATCACAGTTTGCTGCTCTTTTATACATGTATATATGTAATGAGAATTGTTTTATCCATCATTATGCACCAAGATAACGATAGGGATGTCATATATATATATATGAGTTTGTGCTTTGACATGTTGTCTGTGGCAGAATTGTCAGAAATTTGATTGACATTAACTTACAGAACAATAATTCAGTCAAACTGGTCACTGTAATTTCCCCCATTCCTCACTCTTGTTTCAGCTAGTGAGATTTCAGCATGAGAGCTCTTTTATATGTAAGGAACTGGGCATGTATTATGTATGCATGGGAGAGAAGCAGAATGCTTACAGGGTTTTGGTGGGAAAGCCAGAAAGAAATGGATGACTAGGAATACCTAGATATAGGCGGGAGGATTGAGTATTGAGGGGGTGGGTTACCCCGATGCACCGCGACCAGTTTGATCTAGTGTGCGTCCCCCTTTGAATTTCTACTATCTCCATACCCTACTGGTACTGGTGCTTGCTATCGTTCCCTTTCTGCCAGCGAGGTAGCAGTAGTATCTGATAGTTAGTCCCTTTCTGTCAGTGAGGTTGTCCCTCCTCTGGCAGTGGTACCTAAGCTCCCCCATCTACCGGAGGCATTGGAAACTACTCGGGCGGGAAATTGCCTAAATTTAGCTCAGAGGTCTCCTAGAGACATGAGGTTCTTTTACGTGCCGTAAATCTACGACACGGGACCCACGGCTTAAAGTCCCTCCCAGAGGACTTGTTCCCTGAATTTTTCAGCCTTTTTCCGCCCTTAAAAATTCCACGACCTCTGCCGGGTTTGAACCCGCGTACCTTGAGTCATGAGGTGGGAACGTTACTCCTAGACTATGGAGGCCGCTTTAGGTGGGAGGATACTATTAAGATAGATCTTGAATAGAACAGATTCATCTAGATCAGGATAGGATCCAGTGGATGCCTCTTGTGAACATGATAATGAACTTTTAGGTTCCATAAAATGTTGATAAATTATTGAGTAGATGAGTGACTGGCGGCTTCTCAAGAGGGACTCAGCCCCATGAACCTAGTTAGTTCATCTGAAAACATCAGCAGTGAGAAAGGGAAGAAGAGTGAGGCTCTGGAAAATGTCTTCTAACATAAAGAAGAACAGTTCAGCCAGTAATGTAGTATGATGAAAGACTCCCCAATTATTACTAGTTCAGAAATAACAGTTTTAAGAAAATCAAGCATGTAACTTCGTGTTTATGTGAACACATCGTATTTTTATGACTGTAATATACAAAAAATTTTTGTGTAGGACTACCCTGAAACAGACAGAAATGAGAATCCTGCAAGATATCTGGAAGCCAGATCAAGAAGATCAGATATTTTTGGCAACATGCTCCTCTGAAACGTCAGTCAAGTTTCAGTTGACTACACTGCGTTATATCCCAGAAGATAGAACATCTTATAACCTCCACTGTACGAACCTCAAATCGTACATATTACACTTTGTAGATGGCAAAGTTTAATGGACCTTGTATCATATGCATAAATTCCTCAAAAATATCCTGCTAGCTTATGACAGTGTTGATAAGATCAGTTGCTAGCTCTTGATAGAACTCCTTGTTTTTTTAATTAAAAACAACGTTTCAGAGACTGGACTCTGTGTCCACAGGTAAAAACCTATTCCGTTGGGCCCAGTAATCAGAGCTAGCCCCTATATCTGGAGGTTTTTCTACTTTGTGTTGCTTCCACACCCTTTTGTATGGAAATGAGTAATTTCACTTGACAACTTTTATGTGATACAAAGTTGCTGCTTTCATTGCTTTTGAGAAGTGTTTTGTCATATGTAAATACATTTTCTCTTTCAGACAAAAGAACCGGATATTTCATAATGAAAAAGGAGTCTGTCTTTGATGATATTAGTCTTACTCCTGAAATTAAATTACAGTATAGTTCAGATGAAGATGAGGAAGAAGAGGAAGATAAAATTGAAGAAGAAAAGGAAGAAGAGAAAATTGATAGAGAAGCAGCAATTGAAAAGTATAAGTCTCTTCAAACTGAAGGACGCCCAATTGTTAAGAAAAATATTATGCTATTGAAGAAGCTAGCAGAGCACTTCAAGAAACACAAGGTAAATAAACCTTTCATGAAGCATACTTCAAGCAATATAATTAAAGAGTCTTAACTGGGTATTTACTTAAGGATTATGAATGTTTCCCATATGCATAACACAGTGCTCATACTGAAAGTATGTAATGCCCAAAATACTTTTATATCGTCCATATTTTTAACACTATCTTGCAAGCTGTAAATAATACTACCATTCTCTTTCTACAGTTCTTTTATTAGAGTCCATCGCAACACAACAATATAATGGTCAAGGCTAAAATTAGCTTAGCTACATGTTTCGGCTAATAAAGCCATCATCAGGCAAACACATGATTATCATATTCGCACTACTGAACTGTAATTGCAATACTGAAGCTGGATGTTAGATTTGAGGCTTTTCATGGCGGTGACTATGAAGAAAGCAGTCTTCTGGGATTTGGCACCGTGTATATGTGGAGTTAACCGCCGTTTCAGAGGAACGTATCGCCTCCATCTTTAGGGTAGAAGGAAAACTATAAGAAATCCGCAAGCGAAGAGACTGTGAGAACTGGTCTGCTTTTACCGGTTCTCACAGTCTCTTCGCTTGCGGATTTCTTATAGTTTTCCTTCTACCCTAAAGATGGAGGCGATACGTTCCTCCGAAACGGCGGTTAACACCACATATACACGGTGCCAAATCCCAGAAGACTGCTTTCTTCAGTGAAGCTGGATACTTGATAATTATTACATTATAAAATACCGTGAACTATAAACTTATTATAAAAACGAAATTTATGGCATAAAATAAGGTTAAAAACTCTTCATGTGATATTCCATATCGTCAAGTCAGTTGTTGCAATTTTGTTATATGTAGCTAAGCTAATTTTAGCCTTGACCATTGTATTGTTGTGTTGCGACTCTAATAAATGAACTGTATACAATAACACAACAGGATGCACGAAATGAAAATATCCTCTTTCTGTTTACATTAAAATAGATCTCCAGTTGTACTGATTTTCACCCTTACACATCTACTACTTATGTTTAAAATGAATGATGACCTAAGTAAAATTCAAAACATGTAGTGTACCCCTGCTTACGAGAAACAAATCAGAGACACCACAACATCTATTTTGTCTCCATCTTGAAGATATTCTTCTTTATGTTGTGTTGACGGTCAAATTCACATAACTAGACATAAGGAGTGTAAGACTCTTACACCTGAGCAGTTTAACATTCGTGGCAAGCTCTGTGATTTTACTGTACTTATGAACTCTTTTTCCATGAGCTAGTAGAAAACTATGAAATTACAGAGACCAATCTCTTTTAGAACCAGTAAACACCATTTGGCTGATTTATTTAACAATGTGTATCATGGAGACATTCTTTGGCTGAAATGAGTCATAAGATATGAAAAGTATAGTAATTTTAGATATATTTCTATTATGTTTTTCTTTCTACATGACATAAGCATGAGATGGTTATTTAAAGCTTGGCATATGTCACTAAACAACCTCTGTTTGAGAGGATTCAATAAAATTAAATCAGTGTAATGGATTTTCTTCGAGGACAATAATGATAACAGGGCTTAAGAATTGTAGACATCTGTAAGTTTTTCTTCTTCAAATTTGTTATTTAACAACGCTGTCAGTATCAAGACCTTACGACAACGATAAAATGATTAATGAACATGGAGCGGTCAGTGGAATAAGAATTGGCAAGGAAAACCAAACCAATCAGAGAAAACCTTCCCCCATTATCACTGTGTCCACCACAAAACCCACAAAACCTGATCTGGAATTGAACCTGGGCCACAACATTTGAATCCACTGCCTAACTACTTGAGCTATGGCACAGTCCTAATGTCTGTATAGCTTGCAGACAACTGAGATGGGCATGCCAATGTAATTAATGTCTATTTTAAGTGTGTGCCTTTTATTAACAATTATTATTCTGCCCAACTAATTATTTTGAAATTTTCTGGTAAGAATTGCATAATTTTTTGATCCAGATGGAGCATGTCTATAAAATCCCTGAGCCGTACTCTGCGGATCAAGAAGTCCGATATCGCAAACAATTGCTTGCCTTTGAAGAAATCAGAACAACTGAGAAGAAAGAAAGGGAAGTCATTACAAAAGAACTGAAAGGGATGAAAAATCAAAAAGATGAACTCGTTGCAGAATTGAAAGTGGAATTTAATAGCTTTATACAAGGAGAAAGAGAGATTGGCACAAGATTAATTAACACTAAGACAGGTAAAGTGATACATGACAGACTTGTGGAAAAATTACTATCGAAACAAAACAGAAAACTGAAGGCAGTAAATGAAGTGCGCCTTGCTTTTATTAAACTCCGTGATCGTGTAAGTGCTAAAGAGGCCGAATTACAGTTATTAGAAACGTGTGATCAAAACTTAGACTTCATTAAGTATGAACAGCTTCGAAAGGAAAGCCAAAGTTATGCTGATAAGATTGAAAAGAGAGATGAAGAGTTACAGCAGCTGCAGAACAAAGCAACTTCAGCAATGAAGTTAATAGCTCACATGAAGGGGAAATCATTTGCTATAGATAAGAAAATGAATGAGCTATGTAATGTGCTTGAACACACTGAAACTCGGCTAGTCAATGTAAGTATAGCAAACAGAACCTTTACTCAATACATAAAATATCGGCGCACATTTTTAACTTGTATCATCTTTCCATTGTTTGTATGCTGGAAAACTCAAAATGATACAATCTATGTATATCAGGTCCTGAAATAATTTTTATGAAGTTGTCTATTAAATAAAAACATAAAAAAAGTGAAGCTATGCCTGTAACAAGCTGCGGAGACTAAAAGGTGTGTGAGACGTTGAGGCTCCCACATATTCTAGAAAATCGGTTCACAGATGGTGGTGAAATTGTCAGCCTTGTATGCTGGCTGTCCTTTATCCCCAGGAAGATTCCTGATATTCATTTCTGTTAGTGGCTGAGTTGACCCCAGGACCATGGTGTGGCTGGAAGCATTAGGTAAAGGTAAAAATCTAAATTTGTCCCTGTACTTAACTAGTTAAGCAGTACACCATGAAGACATATGGGGGAGTGGATGTATAGATTCACGTTTTCTTGACCTTGGCACTAGTTGGAGATGAGTGGTCAGCTTCACGCCCCGGCTGCTTAACTCCCGGGGAAAAGCGCCCCCAGTACCCATTGGAAAGGAGGCTGGGTGGGCCCAAGAGCTGGTCTGGACAACATGGAGAAGAGAAAATTCTTGACCCTACTGAGACTTGAACCCTGATGACCACTCTGTCGTCCAGTCCACAGGTAGTCGCTATACCAACTGTGCTAGGAAGGATTAGGTCAATTGAAAAATCCAGTGACCTCATCAGGAATGGAACCTGTGACCTTCTGGCTCATAGCATAATGCCTCAACCAGCTATGCTACCGTATGCCCCAAATAAAAGTGTAGTGATAAATACACAGCTAAGAGGCATGAGGTGTGACAGTTAAATAAATGTACTGATCCTCTAAGAAAATATTTTTATTAACCTTCAAAGTACTCACATTCTGTCTATGTACATATTCCAATGTTTCTACTAGGTTTGAGGATTGCTGTAAATAATTTCTGGTAGTCCTTTCAATATGTAAGCAAAATAGAAAATATCATTCACATTGAATAAGTACTAATACCCCTATCAGTTTCTGAATTGTTTCCTGACTTGAAATTATAATAACTTAGAAGTAACAACCAGTTTAGCTTCATCTTACCTTGATTTTATCTATTTACAAGATGACATTCGTAAGTAATATATACTCATTCACTCACTCACGGAGCTGAGCCCTTCTTGAGAAGCCGACAAATGTGCAGCTACTCAAGACTTCCCATCATTTATTGAACCTGAAGGTTTATTACCATGTTCACAAGAGTCCTCCAGTGGTCCCTATCTTTAGCCAGATCAGCCCAATCCATACTATCCCATCCTATCTCTCTGAGATCCATTTTAATATTGTCCGCCCACCTATGCCTTGGTCTTCCCAGTGGTCTCCTTCCTTCTGGCTTTCTCACCAATATTCTATATGCATTTCTCCTCCCCCCCAATTGTGCTACAAGCCCTGCCCACCTCATCCTCCTAGACTTGATCATTCTAATTATACTTGGAGGAGTGTACAAGTTATGTAGCTCCCATAAGTAATATGTAAGCTTTCATTATATTATTTCTGTTAATCAAGTTTGGCAAATTCATAACACTGTGTTTTAAATATTTTGTCGAGTTTATAATGTTTCATTCAGAGTTATTTCCCTGACATTTTTAAATTCTTTACAGGCCCATGGACATGTCACAGATTTGAAGAAACGCCGCGACTTTCTTCAAAGTGAGACTTTACGTTTACGTCGTGAGGCAGGACTCTTAACGCACCCTCATTTATTACAGGACTTTGCAGTCATCGTTGAGGAAGCAACTCGTTTGTCTGCACAGGTTCAAAACCTGAAAAATTCCTTCTATGATAAAGAACAAAGTCTGTCAAAATTAAGGAAATCTATTGATGCCCATATTTCAGCTGGTTCAGTGGGAAATACTTCTTCGGGAACAAGACCCCAACTAAAAGAATCTCTTTCCACAAACTTCACAGGACGTAATCTTCGTGAAAGTAATACTTTTCTTTCAAAAATTCCAAGCCTCCATTCAGTAAGTTCTGACCACATAAATCAGTTATCAAATGAAGAAGTCAAGCCTTGTATAAGAGGAAAATATTCAAGACCTCAATCAAAACATTCATTCAGATCTTCACCAGTGACACCAGTTAGCAAAGAAAGACAAACGTTTTCCCCATTTTCTCATGAGATTTCCTTGCCCAAAGAAGATAAACCAAACCTACGTGTTTTAAAATTCCAAAAATTTTAAACTTATGTAGTAAAGGAAATTTTCTGCAGAAAATGCCATAGTCTTGATATTATGGTAGTGTGCATATAAAATTGTACTTATTTCAAAGAATCTAATCTAAACTTTTAAAAAATTGTAATGTGTTTTAAATTTTATCTTACACAAAAAATGCTGAATTGTCATGGTATGTACTTATAACACTGTACACATTGGGATAATCTTTAAGATTATACACTATAGATTATGAAATAATTAATAATACATAGATTACTTCATTCTATATATATTTTTTTCAGGCAAGTAAAAAATATCAAGATGATTGAATGGCAGAGGATGAGATGGGAAGACATGTAGCATGCATTGGGTCTGTGCTGGTTACATTCATATATTCTATTATTTGTCTAATCTATGAAGTACCTGTTCACCTAAATATAGTAAAAAGAAGACATTTTTCAGTTTTTACATTTTAATACATTTTATTTTTAGTTTATTTATACAATAATTGATATTGGTATATTTATACAAATTAAATACACATCAAAACTTTATGTACACATGGAACATGTTTAAATGATCATGATTTTATGAAAATGTACAGTGAATATGATGATGGAGTATTATTTATGCTGTTGTTGTTACAAGAGAACATTGTCATTTTGGAATTTTCCACTGCTTGCCAAGTACAACTACAGTCCCACCACAAATTGTTAAAGTGATGGGTAATATTATGTCATGTAATGTGTGCTCAGTATATCTTCACTTGTTCTCAGGAAGTGGGTTGTCAGCATCTGGTAAAAGGTAAAGCCATTGTAACATTTAGATTGTTAGGGTATATAACAATGCTGTTTCAGCCACATAGGAAATGCAACATGAAATTAAATGGGAATATGGAAATGAATGGCGAGTAAATAAGGATCTGGAAGAAGACAATGATGTCCAAATTTAAGGATTTTATTCTGGCACTGACCTGGAGAGACAGGAGTAGCATAAAAATCCTTAATCATAATAGCTGGGACTCAGCTGATATTCACATCAGGTGCTTTCTGAATGACGATTTATTGTTACTATTAGCTAAAACATCTGCATCGAAGCAAGAATATTCTTTCATAAGGAACACTTGTATATAGAAAAAATATGTATCTGGTCTATATAAACCAAGGGAATGACTGGAAAACAATATCCGGCAGTCCTTGTAAAAATATTTTTATGTCTACAATTTGTTTTCACTTTTCTTCTGCAGATAACCTGCAATTGTACGATGGGGTACCCAAAAGAAACCGAACTA